GGTCCTTTGTTAGTGTAAGAACTGACCTTCTATATCTTTGGAAATCATGCAACTTGGCTAATGTAGTCCTTAAAGAATTAATCAAGCAGATTGTAAGGCCTTGGCTACAGTGGAGCCAGCCAATTATGAGTTCCTCTGAAATTCATCACTGGTACATCCAACAGCATTTTCCCACATAAAGATTAGTGGAAGTATGTGGAGACAAGGCCTGTTCCCACCCCAGCACAGCTACAGTGTGCTCTCAGCAAAACTCAACAAGAGTAAAACAATTTATTTGGTACTCTTTTTTATTCTTGCCTTAACCCTAATACCTTGTCTGCCAACATCACAGTGACTGTCCTATTTAGTTAAAAGTCAATGACAGACTTTGGCACTCAAACACATTTCTTGATGCAAAGTACTAGAGCCACAGCTTCAAGCCTGAATTCATCAGTAAGCTAGTGAAATCCCTGCAGAGCATCTTTAAATCTTTTGTGATAACAGCCTCCAAGCCTTGCTAAGAAGAAAGCTTCCTGCAGCATGCAAAGGGGCCCGAGTGGGTGAAGACCAGCTCGCTAAGGAGAGGGCAGTGCTGCTCTGAAAGAGACACTCCTTTCAGATAAGCAGAATCAGATTCCCCGGCTGGTGTGCTGGCTACCCTTTCTTTGAACCCTCATATTTAACCCAGCAGGCTTCAAAGCAGGTGAGAAAATGACCTACCACTTAAAAGCAATTTTTCCTTTTTCAGGAATCCTGGCCTTGGAGAATATCAGCTCTGGTATCAGTACATTCCACATCTTCAGGGATTTATGCAACCTTTTCATTGCTCTGTGCATAATGTCAGATGAGGTTTTCATCTTAGTCTGGAGAAAAATATCCTGACTTGCTTAAAACTAAGTGTGATTCCACATAGCTTTATAGCACAAAAAAGGGGAGAGGGTGCTAAAGCCAACAGCCATTCTAGCTCATTCATTCTCTTCCATTTCTTTACATTTGATACACAGTGAGAATTTTAAAAATCATTAATCTTAGGGCTGGGGATGTAGCTCAGTTTGTGGAGAGCTAGTTTACCATGCTCAAAGCCCTAAGAATTCAAGGTCATCCTTAACCAGATAGTGAGTTCCAGAACACCTGGCATACACAAGACTTTGCCTCAAAAATAAAATACCCCAAATCATTAATCTCCAGTGCCTGGCATTATAAAAACACATTTTTGTAATAAATATATTTTAAGAAATTCAAATAGAATTTGCTTTAGCATGTGGCCTAATACAAAAAGAGACTAGAAAAATAAGATAAAATGGTAATAACAAAAAAAAATTGAGATTTAGTCAGACATGGTAACACATGCCTATAGTCAGGGATATTCTGAAGGCTGAGGTTGGAGATGACTTGAGCCCATGAGTTTGTGACCCACCCTGGCAACAAGGTGAGACCGATCTCTAAAAACAACAAAAGGGGGGGCGGGCAGAGATGGGGTAGGAAGATGAAGAGATAAGAATTTGCGCTGGGCGGTGGTGGCGCACGCCTTTAATCCCAGCACTCGGGAGGCAGAGCCAGGTGGATCTCTGTGAGTTCGAGGCCAGCCTGGGCTACCAAGTGAGTCCCAGGAAAGACGCAAAGCTACACAGAGAAACCCTGTCTCGAAAAACAAAACAAAAAAAGAATTTGCTAAGTTTTCTTAAGTGGCTTTGCCTTATTAAGAAGTAGGACAAGTATATTTCATCAGTTTCTACTTTATATTGTATTATAGATCTGATCTAACTGAAAAATCCTTACACATTTTACAACTTGCCAAAACATTCTGTTCTACAAAGCAGTTTGCCAGTACCAGGAAGTGGAAACATTTTTCTTCTTTTTGTGGTTCACACACACAATGTACCAACTGCATATTTTAATTATTTAAATGACATCCAACTACCATTTATACTTCAATGACTGTGAGAATACTCATTTGAGCTTGTTACTATCCTCCAAAGGTAAGGAGGTAGGTCTTCCACCGCAGCCCCTCTTGAGTGGTGACAATGGTGACAATGGGAGGAATACCATTCACTTACTTCTCACTGTGGATAGACAGAGTTCTAAACACTTGATAGATATTCAACTCTTTCACCCCCAACAAACCTATGCAGTACTATTTTTCACTTTACAACTAAGGGTAGAGAAGATAATGTAACTTATATGAGATTGCATAGACAGTTAAGTGTCAGGGCTGGGATCAGAGCAAAGCAGTTTGGTTGCAGAGTGTTGCTCATAACCACTCTGTAATACTGCCCCTTCTCTATCCTGATAAGGCAGCCTGCTAGCCTGGTGTTCCAAATCCCTCATATTGGGTACAGGGTAGAACAGGGCTTCTCAAGCTTTAACAATGCATGTAGGATAACCTGTTAAGACGCAGACTCTAATTCAGGAGGTCTGCAGCAAAGCCTGAAGCTGTACATTTTAACAAGCTCCTAGAGGAGGGTGGTGTTTCTAGTGCACGGACCATACTTTATGAAGTGGTGATGTGTTGTGGAGTAGAATACTTGTTAACTATGTAAAGATGTGTTGCATTTGCTTATGTTGCAGAATAATTGTTTAACTATGTAAAAGATATGCTGCATTTGTTTAATTATGTAGAGATGTGTTGCTGTTTCCTCTTACCTGCTTAAGGCACCTGATTGGTCTAATAAAAAGCTGACTAGCCAATAGCTAGGCTGAGGAGGGATAGGCGGGGCTAGCAGGCAGATAGAAAAGGGGAGCCAGCCATCAGGGGTAGGGGAGGGTGGGGGGTTGGGTAAGAGGGATGGGGGGGGGGACGGGGGAAGGCAGCCAACCAGACATGGAGGAAGTAGGAAAGCAGGATGGACAGTACAGTAGATGAGGTAAATGAGCCTCAGGGCAGCACATAGATAAACAGAAATGGATTAAGTTAAAAAAAAAAAAAGGTAGCTAGAAACAAGCCTAAGTTGAGACCAAGCAGTTATAATTAATAATAAGTCTCTGTGTCATGATTTGGGAGCTGGCAGTCCAAGAAAGCCTGCTATAGTGAAGAACTATAATAGAAGCCTCTAGTTCTTTTCTGTATGTCTACTGCCAAGGTATTTAAGCATTGTAAAAGGGAAGACTGCCTATTCACAATCATTTTCCATTAGCTTTTACACAGGGCCTGTCTTTGGAATAAATGCATGCCACATACTGATGTGCAGGTTTCATCAGTAAGTATGTGGCTTTTAGAAATTTAAAATACACATATAAGAGCCATAGGGATAAAATGTGGCTGTAAAAGTTCACTCTCAGTAACTTCTTAAATATTATATATACCAACTATACAAATAAAATATAGTATATAAATGTTTATTGTTCAGCAACTAGAATAATAATATATTAGTTACTTTGGGTAAAAAAAAAAAAGAGAAATATCTACTTTAAAATATGTAATTCTTCATTCTCAAGTCTCTGCTAAGAGTGCTAAGGAAATTGCACTATGTAAGCTTAAGGCTCTTCTGGTGCCATTAGCGACCTCTACAGCAAGGGCAGTTACTATATGAACACTGACGGATGGAGACTAGAGTATACTCCACAGCCATTTTAGCCAGAACTTCAAGAAATACACTGTTGGCTGCTACATCTCTATTCCAGATTCCAGATCTCTCTCTTCGCTCTCCTGCCCTATTTCTCTTCCTTCCTACTCCATTGCCTTGAGAAACACTCAGGAGCCATCTCTCACTGCTTGCCTGTATCTTTGAAATACATGGATTAAGGGCCTCCCCCACTTCTTCTTCTCTTCTAGCTTTTAAGTGGATAGGATTCCCTTTCTGGCCCATGTTTTCCATGCTCCTTACACAGTGAGGCATGTCAGTTTGAGATGCACTCATTCCATCAGCACCACTGTAATCAACAGTAAAATTCATTACTAAGCTGCCTTTCTACACTAAGAGGGAACAGAACAATCAGTCTGCAACTCACACATCTACACTCCCTGAGCAGCAGTGGGAAGTCATTCATTTTGGAGCTTGACTCAAAATCAAATGCATATCAGACTCCCTAGGCTTTACAGACAGTGGCATTTTAACACATTACACAATGGACTTTCAGGGAAAAGGGGAAACTGTGTCCGTAGCACAGGTGCCATAAGAGCTAATTAATCTGTAAGGCACAAAATAAACCTTTTTTTTTCCTTCAAGACAGAGTTTCTCTGTGTAGCTCTGGCTGTCCTGGAACTTGCTCTGTAGCCCAGGCTGGCTTCGAAATCACAAAGATCTACCTGCCTCTGCCCCCTGAGTGCTAGAATTAAGTGCCTGTGCCACCACCATTGGCTAAAATAAACTATACTTATGGCAGGAAAAGAAGCTAAAGAAAAACAGTAGTTATAATGGAAGCACATAGATATAGGAAATACACTACCAAGTAAATTGGTTCTTCTATTATTCTCAGTGCATGTTTTATGTTTGGGAATATAATAAAACAACACTTTCTTTTGCGTTTTAACCCATCATTTGGTAAATATGCTAAGCTGTAAAAGGGATACACATTTTTATTTATTTGTTCATGCTTCACTCATTATTATTGTGCTTGTACCATGGGGGAGGCGCGTGTGTCATGACATGTATGAAGGTCAGAGGACGACTCTGTAGACTTGGTTCTCTCCTCCTACCTCTATGTGGGTTCTAACTTGGAGTGCTTAGATAGTAACAAGTCCTTTACCTGTTGAACCATCTTGCCAATCCCCAAGAAATATGCATTTTTTAAATGAAAATTATTAAAACAAAATTATTTTTGGTGATATTAGTTAATATATCTGTGTAGAGGAATGAAAAGAGTTATCATTTTAATATCAATCATCAGCCAGACACGCCTTAAATTCCAGCACTCAGGAGGCAGAGGCAGGCTTTCTGTGAATTTGAGGCCAGCCTGGGCTACGGAGTGAGTGCCAGGACAGCCAAGACAAGAAAATACATTAAAGATAAAGAAAAATTGAATTATTCTTTAGTTGGTAAGGAATGCTGTCTTAATCACCAAAAGTAATTACAAAGGCCAACTTTATAATGTTATAGCATTGTATTTTTAACTTTTGAGCAACAGAAGTAAGTTCACATCACCGGAATTCATGTTTGACATATTTATGGCAGAAGCTTTACAAAGCAGCTCTTGCTGTTTCCAAGTATCTTTCACTGCTCGTGTGGTCTAGCACAGACAGATCAGATCCGCTTTCCTGTGCAGTTTCATAAATACTCCACACAAGTCCTGGAGATCATACTCACAGCTTTAGCAAAAACACCCATGACTTCAGGAAACTGGTGTGTGAGAAACGCTATCATTGCTGTCGAAGAACAGAGTCCTGCTGTAAAGTGGATGAAGAAAGGAAGTTCCTTTTTTGGATAAACAGAAACATGATGAAAAGCTGCAAGGAAAAATTGGTAAGAGTGAGTTTTATTTCAGCACAAACCAGTTTTAATATTTTTAAATTAAACCTAGCTTTGAAAATTAAAAATAGGGTTAAAAAGTAACAAGAACAAAGGTAAGAGAGAGCTATTCAGTGCATTTGCATAGTCAGATGGCTGTCCTGGGGTCTGGGAACAGGATGGCATCGTGGGAAAGAACAGGAATTCTAAAGTCATGCTGAGTGGTTTTGAAAAAGCGCTTTGTCACTTATTAGCTGTGCACTAAACCCTATGGAAGTTGCTATGGAGTTGTTATGATGACAGTGTAAGCACTTAGTAAATGTGAGGTGTTATTAATTCTCATTCTTTGAAGCTCAGCAAGTAGTGTAGAGATAAAGAGATAGACATGTCTTGGGGGGTTTCCCAGAATCACTGCTTAATAATTGTACTCAGTTATTACTACATTGCATGTGTGACACTTCACCGAGTGCTATGAAAACAGAACTAGGAAGCCAAGGCTCTGGCTGTAAATGAAGTTCTTTGCCTTATTTTATCACATTTATACACCTGAGTGTTATTTTTCTAGTATACGAGATCTCATTACCAATTTTATTCAAGTACTTATATATTAGTCCAAGTACTTGGATAACAATAATCTAGAGCCAAGCCTATTAGAGTGTCCAATGCACAGTAGGTGCTCAATAAATTCCTTTAAAACTGAGAGCTATGTGAAGACTTCATTAGTCAGGAAGTTGACTGCTAGGACACCAACCCAGGAATTCCTGATGTAATATCCTGCTGCAGTAAGGAATGACTAATTCCATGCTGAACCAAGGTCGGCTATAAATTTCAATTTTTAAAAACATAACTATTAACAGAGAAGGTTATACCCGTTTCCTTCAATAGCTATAATATTTTATATAGCTTATACTAAACTCAGAAAGTATATATAAAAAACTAAATTCATTTTAAAAATTCAGATTTCCAGAGCCTCAAGCCATATTTCATGTAAAAGCACAACAGCACTGAACTTGGTAAAAGCTAAAAGCAATCCCTTCTGCCCTATCCCTCATCCATGAGAGGTTGACTTCTTCCAGCAAACAAAGAGAAACAAACTCTGGTAGGAGGCAGGGAATGAGACAGTAAAATTAATATTACCTAAACCCTAAAGCACTTTATGGTTTTTAAAGTTCTCATTTAATTGTTGAAATAACCTGAAGATAGATAGTATTATTTTCATTTTATAATAGTAAGACTGCATAGCTTTAGTAAGAAAACTTCCTAAAACATGAGACTTCTGTATTGTAGGAGAGACCTAATTATTTCTTCTTGGACTGCTTCCTGTAGATTCACTTGTCAGTCAATGTCTGGCTAATACATCAATATAATGGATGACTGACTAGTACAGAAACTCCCTTGGAACGAAAGTTCAAATTTCATCACTGGCTTGTAAAGAAAAATTTATCAGGAGGCATAAAAGACGACAAAACAGCCATATGAACTAGGGGAATAGTTCAAGTCTCTACTTATGAGTCTATAAGCAAATTCCAGAAAGCTGTAAGTCATATCAAGGCTGAAAGAGAATTAAAAATAAAAACCAGTAAGTACTCCTGGGTATTAGAACTCCACATTATTAAAAATTTGTTCATTCCACCACAGTCAGAAACAGAAAAATATACTGTAAAAACATATACTATAACCAAACAAGACCCTCCAGCACATCCCTCTATGTCTATGTCCTGGAGCTTGGTTGTTCCCTGTGTGATGTTAGGACTTAATGAAAGCTTACCAAAAAACCTGACTGGGGGCTGGAGGGATGGCTCAGTGGTTAAGAGCACTGGCTACTCTTCCAGTAGAACCAGGTTTAATTCCCAGAACTCACATGGCAGCTCACAATTGTCTATAATTCTAGTTCCAGGAGAGCTGACATCCTCTTCTGGCCTTTGGGCATACATGAAAATATATGCAGGCAAACACCCATATACATAAAAAATAAAATAAGATTTTAAAAATCTATATTTTAAAAAACTTTTAACTGTGTGATCTTGTAGCTCCTGGTTCTGACATAAGAAATATTAATACGCAGGCTGGGGAGATGTCTCAGTGGTTAAGAGCACTGACTGCTCTTCCAAAGGACCCAGGTTCAATTCCTAGCACCCACATGGCAGCTCACAGCTGCTGTAACTCCAGTTCCAGAGGATCCAATGCCCTCATACAGATATACATGTAGGCAAAACAACAATGCATATGAAATAAAAATAAATAATTAAAAAAGAAATTCTTTTACTATAAATGTATTATCCTAATACAATAAAAATGTTCATTATTTCACTGTATTTTTTGAGACAAGGCCTTGCTATTTGTAGTCCAGACTGGTCTCAGACTCACAGTCCTCACTCTTCAGCCTCCCAAAGGCTAGGATTATAGGCATTTGCTCCCATGCCCAGGTACAACACACTTATGTATTGATTGATTTAAAAATTGATTTCTTTGCCTTAAAAATCTCTGTTCCTTTTTAAATGGAAAAATAATAGTTAGGAAAAATAATAGTTAACCTCACTCTACGTAGGCAAATGCAATTTCTCTCACTAATGACCTCCTAATTGCCAAAGTCAATAGATTCTTCTCAGTAACTGCCTTTCCCGCTATCTCAGCTACTCCTCCTCACTGGGAAGTTTCCTCTCCTTTAGTTACTAGAATATCTAGTTCTTGTCTCTGACTGCTCCTCCTCTAAACCTTCACTCACTTTCTTCCCATCAGCTCCTTAGAAGACTTTGTGTCCACTTGGTTCTACCCTCCTGTCCCCACTTGTAATCTCAGCCTTGTGAAGGACTCCTTTGGTTACTTAGAAATGATGACTCTTAGTCTCTTTTGTGAGACAGAGAAAGAAATTTCAGGGCCCCTGGCAATTCTATTCAAATAACCTTATCTAGTTTCTAGTGTACAGCTAACTGGACGAGGCATGAACACTGAGATAAAATCCAAGCTCCCCGAGAGCTGTGGGGCCACCGAGAGAGCTCAGTAAAACAACTGCTGTGCAAGCATGAGCACCTGAGTTCAGGTCCCAGCCCCCACAGAAAACCCAATGCCCTGCCTGCAATTCTAGAGCTAGGAAGTCACAGTCAGGCAGATCTGTGGTGCGCACGGGCCAGGTAGCCTGAGCTCCAGATTTAGTGAAAGACCTTGTTGAAAAACATAAGATGGAAAGCCATCAAGGAGAACACCCACTGTTGCCCTCTGGCCTCCGCATGCAAATGCATACAACAGTGTGAACACACACACACACACACACACACACACACACACACACACACACACACACTCTAAGAAGCTGGAGAGATGGGTCAGCAGTTCTGAGTGTTTGCTGCTCTTGCAGAGAGCCTGAGTTCACAGCAGCCAAATCAGGCAGCTCTCAACTTCCTATACTCCAATATCCTTTTCTAGCTTCTGTGGGTACCTGTATGCCAACATGTACACACACAGACACATAAATAAAAATAAAATGAAAAAAAAATTAAGATAGAAAACACTATCGTTTGTGTCCTTTCAAAAATCCATGTGTTAGAAATTTGGCCCCTCAGGCGGCAATATGAGGAAGAGATGGGTCTAGCAGAAAGACCTTGAGCCAAAAGAAGGGACTGTGGGAAGCAAGCTTGCCTCTCTTTCTTTTTCCCTCCCTCTTTCTGGTTCAAGAATCACTTGCTTATCTGCATGCATGCTCCTGCACTCACTATGTACTTTACTTCACTGGCTGATCTGCCAAGGGGCAGCCCCTACTCAGAGCCTGAGCTTTGCCCTGCATACTCCGAACTCTAAAACCCAAGCTCAGTAATCTTTCTTCACAAACCCTGTAGCATGTATTTCATTATAGTAACAAAAAGGCAACTATCAGGGCCCTCCCACCTTTAATCCTAGCACTCAGAGGCGGGTAAATCTCTGTGAGTTCAAGGCTTCTGTGGTCTATCTAGGGATTTCCCGGTCAGGGATACATAGTGAGACCCTGTCTCTAAGAAAACAAACAGACAAACAACAACAACAAAACAACCCCAAAATACACACACACACACACACACACACACACACACACACACACACAAAACTAACAAACAAAAAGGTGACTAAGGCCGGGCGGTGGTGGCGCACGCCTTTAATCCCAGCACTCGGGAGGCAGAGACAGGTGGATCTTTGTGAGTTCGAGGCCAGCCTGGGCTACCAAGTGAGTTCCAGGAAAGGCGCAAAGCTACACAGAGAAACCCTGTCTTGAAAAACCAAAAAAAAAAAAAAAAAAGGTGACTAAGACAGAAACCAGTCTAAAAATAATCTAAATAAGTAGTTGCAAGCTGAAGAAAACGAAGCATTTACTTACTAGGCAACAGCTCTCTGTCAGCAGTCTCTGTGCAGCTGGGATAAGGGTAAAATAGATGTCCTTTCTCTAACGGGTATGGAATCATTCTAAAAGCTGAGAGGGAAAATACATTAGCATTCAATTTTATCTCACTCATCTATGCTATAAATCAAACCTAGTCTGCAGACATGTTTTTATAATTTTTTCACAAAGCATTTTATCTTCTTTTCTAGAGAGACATTGTAGATGAAATAAAGCGAACAGAAGAACATATGGGGGAAGAATGCATGAGGAAAGAATAAGATTTACTAAGAGAACAGTGAGTGGTCTAGTCTCAGTGTAAATGGAATGAATGCTAGAAGATAACACTGGCTGAGGTCTTCTTTCCTCAGTCACCTCATCACAATCATGGACTTAACTCCACAAGTATAAATCCTGCTTCGATAGGAATCTTTAAGAAAGAGGAATGTGTATACTTGTGGCTCTCAAGCTAAAAGAGTTCTTGCTGGCTTAGTACTCCACCTATGAGGCTCACAAAAGTCTTCTACAAGAATGCACAGTCATATACCCACACACATAAAATAAATTTAAAAAAAAAGAAAGACTATTCAAATCTGGTTCAAGGATCATGAAAGTCATTATCTGTCCAATGTCATTCAACAATCAGTGCTAACATAAGGAAGGAAATCATTCATCAAGATGCATGAAATGCAGCATAAGTTATATACTTGGTGAAAATCCCTCAAAGGCTAAGCAGAATACCAGGCAGTAGAGACAGACATGAAATGAATAAGAAAGTCCCTGGCTCTGAGGACCTTATAATCACCTGGAAGTAGCCTAACCACTCAAAGTCATTCAACTACTCAATTGCAAAATTTCAATTTGATTTAGTTTTCTACTGTCAGTGTCAAGCACAGTGTATGATTGTTGTTAATAAGTGCATATATAGAGATGTCCAAACTCTCGGTTCACAGATAATGATGTCCTCATGTCTTACTGATGATGGTGGTGGTAGTGGTTATGGAATGCAGGGCCTCAAGCACACTAAACTCATATTCTAAATTGGGGCCTTAGTAAATATGGCTTACTAATTAGTAGGTCCAAACAACTTTAAAAGTCTATGTTCTAAGAACTCAGAAATGTATGCCAGGCAGTGGTAGCACACATGTTTAATCCCGGCACTCGGGACTCAGAGCCAGGCAGATCTCTGTGAGTTCAAGGCCAGCCTGGTCCATAGAGCAAGATCCAGGACAGGTACCAAAACTACACAGAGAAACCCTGTTTTGAAAAAAACAAAAACAACAAAACACACACACACACACACACACAAAAAAAAAAACCTCATAAATTTGAAAAAATATACATAAATTGAAAAGTTTAATTCATACTTCCTTTTAAAGTAAACATAATTTCAACAGGCTGTGGTGTTTGAACCTACAGTGTCAACTACTCAGGAGGCCAAAGTAGGAAGACTGCAAAAGCTCCAGTTCAGTGCTGACCTGAATGACAACATAAAGATAGACATCTCAAAACATTTCTTACTAATGAAATATATTTAGGAACCTCTTGGACACTGCACAATTTCTCTACCTTGGGACTGGATCAGACACCACCATCATCATTTCCTGCTCCACACTGATTCCTATCATGACACTTCTTTCAGTCATAGCATCTAACAAAACAAAACTGCAGAATTATGAAGACACTAGACAGAGATGGACATATGATGAAACTGGATTCTACCTGGAGTGAACGATTTAAGTGGTATCTGACAGATGTTGAGTGCTTCCATTAAAAATATATAACAGAGTTCTAGTAGAGCAACCAGAAGAACTGTCTTCTGGGGGTGACCTTTAGTAGTCTACCTCAGGGAGCTAGCACTGTTCACTGGAGTGGTAAAGAGGGGAAGGAAGAAGAGAAAAGGAAGGTTCTTCGCTAGCATCTCACATCTAGACGATGGTTTTCAGTTATGACCATAGTTTATATGTGTAGTTTTCATAAAGTACTTTGTCTTCTGTGCAAGGTGTTGGTTATTTTACCACACCTAAGGTTTCTAGATATTAATGGATGACAACGTATGGTCAAAAGAGAAAAAGTACAGCAATAAATTAGCTACTTTCTTTGTCTGTTATAATGCAAAGAAACACATTTTAAACAAAGAATGAAGTTCTAGACCAGCCAGAGCAACTGTGAGATCCTGTCTCAAAGAAAAGAAAGGGGCAGGGGCAGCTACACAGTAAGTGGTAGGCCAGCCAGAGTGAGACTGTCTCAAAAGAAAAAAACAAAACAAAGCCAAGCCCCACAAAAAAGTAGCAAAATACTGACACATACCACAACACAGATGAGCACTGTCAATATTATGCTAAATAAGAGAAATCCAAAAGGATAACTACTGTGCAACTGCACTATATGAAGTACTAAACTCATGAGTCAGAGCTATGAACACTCAAAGTGGCTGGAAAGGTGAGGATGAAGGTAATTATGTGTGGGCTGGAGAAAGCCCAGTGGTTAGGAGCCTTGGCTGCTCTTCCAGAGGACCCAGGTTCAATTCCCAGCACCCACATGGCAGCTCACAACTGTCTGTAACTCCAGTTCCAAGAAACTAACACCCTTACACAGACATGAATGCAGACAAAACACCAATGCATATAAAATAAAATTAAATAAAATCTTAAAAAGAAAAGATTATTATGTGAACTTCAGTTTGGGAAGATGAAAAGATTCTGGAAATGGATGCTGATGATAGGTGCTCAACAATGTGACCATACCCAATACTACTGAACTGGGCACAGAACAGCTACAGTGGTAAATTTTATGTGATGAAAGTTTTACCACAATTACAAACTGAAGGTAGGTGTGGTGACACAGGCTTACAGTTCTAGTACTTGGAAGGTGGTAGCAGGAATCAGAAATTTAAGACCAGCATCAGCTACATAGTGAGTTTAAGGCCTGCCTGAACCACATGAGACACTGAGGCAGAGGGTGAGGGAGAGGGAATGAAGAGAGTTGCTACACTGACTGACTAGCTTTTATTGTCAGCTTGACACAAACCAGAGTCACCTGAGAAGAGAGAACTTCAACTGAGGAATTGCTTCCTCCAGACTGGCCAGTGGGCATGTTCTATAGGACAGTGTCACAACTGCTAACAGATGTAGGCGGGCCCAGGCCACTGTGGATAGTGTCACCCCTGGGCAGGCAGGTCTGTGCTGTGTAGTAAAGCAAACTGAGCGAGCCAGAGAAAGCAAGCAAATAAAATGTTCCTCCTTCTTTGGTTTCTGCATGAAGCTCCTGCCTTGGGTTTCTGCTTTGGCTTCCCTCAATGATTGACCGTAAACTGTAAAATGGAAGCTGCTATTGGCCATACTGTTTATCACAGTGACGGAAAACAAACCAGAACGGTTGCTAGAACACATCTGAAAACAAAACAACAACAACAACAAAAACCCAGACCATTTCTTTTTTTTTTTTTTGGTTTTCCGAGACAGGATTTCTCTGTGTAGCTTTGCGCCTTTCCTGGAGCTCACTTGGTAGCCCAGGCTGGCCTCGAACTCACAGAGATCCGCCTGGCTCTGCCTCCCAAGCGCTGGGATTAAAGGCATGCACCACCACCGCCCGGCCCATTTCTTATTCTTATATTTTAAAATTTATTTAATTTTCTGTGAATGAATGCTTTGCCTGCTGTATATGTGTGCATCAGTTGTGTGTCTGGTGCCACTGGAGATCAGAAGAGGACAATGATCTCCTAGAACTGGAGTTCGGGAGGTTGTGTGTCACCATGTGGATGCTGAGAAGCAAACTCAGGTACTCTCCAAAAGCAACAAGTGCTCTAACTGAGCCATTTTTCCTGCTCATAAACCAGGTTCTTTTCTTTGTTTGTTGTTTGTTTGTTTTTTGGTATTAGAACAGGGCTGGGTGTACAGCTCAGTGATATAGTATATGCTATTAGTATAATTAAGGCTTTGATTTCAACCTCTCTCACCTCATCACAAAACTAAACCAAACTAAACAACTAAAGCAACAATAAAACTTAACTACATTTAAAAAGCTTATAAACTAAAAGGCATACATTTTCATTTTTCTTTCACTGCAAATACTCAATTTTAGCAAAATACCCTAATAGTTCCTCATTCTGCTTTTCCCAATGTGGCATCCAGATATATTAAATTATTTCTTCTACCAAATATAATGCCACAGAGATTATTTGAAACCAATCCAAGTCCTTCTGAAACTCACACAATCTCATCTGAAAAGACTGCATGTGGATGCAATGAACATTAAGAGAGATTAGCATTACATCTGGCAAAGAATACTTACTGCCTTCCCATGTACACTGCAAGAGATTCAGAGCACCTTCTATCCGTTTCCAGTGCTGCAGATGAAAGAAAGCATAGGCAATTGCTTCACTATCTCCTCGCTTCAGAATGTGTTCCGGAGGTAAAATTAAACTTTTCATCTCTAGTAAGTACTGCAAAAACAACACATCCACACCAAGAAATTAAATTGTGTTAAGTGAAAACATCCACAAAACATTTATTCAAATGTTACAAATTGGTTTAAACACACACACACACACACACACACACACACACACATTAAACTAGTTAAAATAACATGCAGTTCCAATTGAAAACTTGTCTAAAGTGTTTGGGTTTTTTGTTTTTTTGTTTTTTTTAAGATTTATTTATTATGTATATAGTGTTCTGCCTGCACGTATGCCTGCATACCAGAAGAGGGCATCAGATCTCATTACAGATGGTTGTGAGCCACCATGTGGTTGCTGGAAATTAAACTCAGGACCTGTGGAAGAGCAGCCAGTGCTCTTAACCTCTGAGCCATCTCTCCAGCCCCTAAAGTGCTTGTTATACTTGCAAACTTCCAAAGTGAGAATTTCCTATAGATAAAAACAAATTGACAAACAACTTATGTGACCTTGCAAAAATACAAAATAGAAAGTTAAATTGAGGAAATGTAAGAGCAAATATGTTCCAAAAAACAATTAAATATAAAATCATAAAATACAGTTTCTTGAAAGTACTTTGTGGCATCATTCAATTCTGTTTTCTTTTATTCCTATTTTATGGGTGGAAAACTTAACTGTGGGGTAAAGTCAATTAATTAATATTCACTAAGTACAAGACAGTATGCTCACTAGGGAACACCAAAAAACCCCATAACATAATGAGAAAAACAGATTTCTTAGTAAACAATTATAATCAGATTGTGGTGAGCCCGTATAAAAAATTAAGCAATGTCTATGTGAGTAGGAAATACTAATTTTATCTTGTTTTTAAAACAGCTTTGTTGAGCTGTAATTCACATAGCACAGAACTAGATTATTTGAAATAGATAATTCAATGGTTTTTATTACATTCAAAAACATGTGCAACCATCATCATTTGAATACATTCCATTACCTCAGAGGGAACACTGGACCCTCTCATATCATTCATTCTCACTGCCTCATTTTTCCCTGTCTCTCTGAACCAAGCATTCACCTATTTTCTGTCTCCATAACTGCCTATTCTGAATACTTCATACAGATGGAATAATATAATGTTTTCATAATACTATTGTGATAATATATGGTATGTAGAAACTTGTGACTCGTTTCTTTCATTTAGCGGTTTTAAGGTTCATCTAGGTCACAACACGTATTGGTACCCCTTTCTCTTTAGAGTCAAATAACATTCCTCATAAATACACAGTCTTTAGCTGTCAGACATGTGTCCTTTCCACTTTTTGGCTTTTAGAAATAATAATGCTGGGCTAGGGACATGGCTCAGTTGGTAGAGTGATTGCCTAGCACGCATCAAGCCTTGGATTTGATATCTAGCACCTAAACCCAATATGGTGGTGCACACCTGTAATCCTAATACTCAGGAGGTAGAGGCAGAAGGATCAGAGTTCAAGGTCATCCTTGACTACACTTTGAGTTCAAGGCCAGGGTGGCATACATGAGAACCTGTCTTAAAAACAAAACAAAACAAAAATCAGAAAAAGCAAGCAAGCAAGAAACAAAAGCAAATGGTAATATTAACAAGTATTTATACACAAGCTTTGGTAGGATTATGTTTCATTTCTCTTGAGTAAACACTTTGGGTGGTAATGCTGAGCTATACGATAGTATATGTATGTTGATTTGAGTTGATATTAAAGGTGATCAGAATACGGATCATTACACTGGGAGTGAGCAGAAGTGAGGAGAGAAGACACACTGAAAGCACAGGCCCACGGTGAGCACAGGCACTGCACCAGAAAGCACAGAGCACACGCACTGAAGGCATGGGTGAAGTGCCGTTAGACATTTTCTCCACAGATGAAACCAAATTTTATCTCATACCATTCATTCACTCAGAGACAGTGTCTTATTACGCAACCCAGGTTAGCTTCAAACTTGTAATTCTTCTACCACAACCTCTTAAGAGCTAGGATTATAGGTACGCACCACCATGATGCCTAGCTTATCTCAAACTCTTTAAGCAAACATTCCTTCTAATTTTATAATCTACAACAAAAAATAGGAGGGTTTGGGGTTCAGCTCAGTGGTAAAGCACTTGCTTAGCATGTTCAAGGATCTGAGCTCAATCTTCAGCATGTCAAAAAACCAGAAACACAAAAGCAGACACTAAAATCAGTATAATCATAGTTATTACATTAACCAAGTTTATGACTTTCATTAAGAAAGATATAAAAGTAACCACTGGTACACTAGATCTAATTTTAACTGGTAGACTTTAAACAAAACCTTAAGAATTTAGCTAAATTCCCTTCTAAGCCTGAGGTCTATACACTTCCCTTCTAGAGCAGATCTGAAGAACCTCTCTGGACATAAGCAATTTGCTACTAACTAATGTGTTATGAAGTCCAAATCCTACACACATTATATAAAATTTAAAAATTATGTAAAATGTAAGGAGAGGTGTCTCAAATATATAGTCACACATCTTACAGAGTGTATGTTGTAAAGAACATAAAGAGACAGAGCTGTAAATTTTAAGCTTTATTATAAGCAATAATAGATCCAGGGAGAATCTTAGAAATAAAAAAAGTTGTAAGGATGTCAAATCTTAAGCCTTAAGTAACTCATACTACATACTCATTGTACTAATCATCTAAAATGATATTTCTTTGTTTATGAAGTGCGCCTCTCCATGCATTACTGAGCTCACTGCCCAGCTTTAATTACTCCTCCTCTTGATGTTTCTGGCTCCTCAAAGTGTAAGAATGCAGTCTGCTCATCAATTTATTTTAGCAGATGTCACAAACTATGAGATTATTTACTAATCCAGTTTGGGTACTTAACATTTCCCATTCAGTTTCTTAAAAGGAATGCAGCAGAGGTTGCGTCCTGGTCAGGCAAAGCCCATTTGCTGCCTGGTTGGGCTCTCTCTCCTCAGCGCCCTGGGCCTATATTCAGGCGGGTAATATTCTTTCTAATCCTCTCTAATCCTGGCCCATTTTTTTTGAAACACAGTAAAAGATCACTCACACCAGGCGGCTGTGGGAAAATGGACTGCAATGGCTGACCTCTGACACGATTCCTCATGCTCCCTGCATGTGCACTGAGAGTGTCTTCAGTAGGAAGCACAGTGTTATCACAGTGGGTTGGCATCGGAAGGCCAGTGTCACAGCTCCAGAGGAAAATGGTTTAATTCTTAACTCATGGCCTTTCTACTAAAACTCTAATTTAGAAATGCGGGGTGAGGGGGAAGCCCCACGCATTTTCATTTAGAGTGCAAAGGCTTTAAACAAAGCTTGTGACGTGGTATTTAGTGTTTGGGTACATGTAGGCAGACACTTGGTTAATCATATCAACTTAACATGTCCAGGAAACATTTTTTGAAGAGTAACTATATACCTACATTTTCATTGTCAACCATTCTCAGCATCAATGTACACAGTACATAAATAAATACGGCACATTAATAAGAAATTATAATTCATATTTTTCATTTGATTTGTATTTTGCTTTGGTTTGCGGTCGACACTGGAACCCAGGATGCCACGCACATTGCATAGTAACTCTGACCACTGAAATAAATCCTTAGCCCAAATGTCCTTTGACTTTAAAGCAAAATATTCTTTCAATTTCTATCAAAAGAAAATTTGGCTCCTAAAATATAAGAAAAAAATCAAGTAAAAAAAAAAAAGGGCCTGGTACTAGAGAATTAGCTTAGTAGTTAAAGCATTTATTGCTTTCAAAGGTCTTGAGTTTAATTCCCAGCACCCATATGGCAGCTCACAACCATCTATAACTTTAGTTCCAGAGGATTCAAGGCTCTGTTTCAGTCTTTGTGGACATCAGGAATGCACATGATGCACATACATCTATACAGGAAAAACACCCATAAAATAAAAATAAATATTTTTTTTAATGTACTTAATGGATCTTGGGGACAGCTCAGTGTAGGCCATGTCCTCAACATGTTCCAGGCCTTGGCTTCAATCCCTAGCATAAACACACAAGAGTGCACTTAAAATAAAATATAACGTTACTACAATACTTACTTTATGCCCTCCAGAAATTGCTATTCAGGAATTACAGCTATCCAGTGTAGGCTGTAAGTTAATGCACAACAGAAACTCTATCCTTTGTACTCTCTACAGTACCTAGCACATTCTACTACCTAAAATAGTCACTGAAATAATGAATTGAGCTGAGCTGATATATACAACAAAATGTCTTCAAACTCATATATCAGTTTTTACCTAAAGACATTTTTAATATGGAGGTGTGTGTATGAGCATGTGTGCACACAGGTGTAGACTGTGGAGGCTAGACCTCAATGTTAGATGTCTTCTTCTATTACTCCCTATTTTCAAAATTTTTTCTTTATTGTTGTAGCTATTATTATTATTATTATTAAGTAGTAGTAGTTTGTGTGTGTGTGTGTGTGTGTGTGTGTGTGTGTGTGTGTACACGTACCCTGAGGTCAGAGAACAACCTTGTGGAGTTGGTTTTCTCTTCCACCTTTACACGGGCTCTGGGAACTGAATTAGGGTTGTCACGCTTGCATCATCAGCAAGCACATTTACCTGTCAAGCCAACTCCCTGGCATCACCAACTCACTTTTTTGAGACAGGGTCTTTCATTGACCCTGGAGCTCACTGTTTTGGCTAGAATGACTGGCCAGGACGCCCCTGGGTTTCCCGGTCTCTGTCACAGTTGACAGCCCCCCCCCGCCGGGTGACAGACATACAAGCTGGCCACCCCTGGCCACCCCTGGCCACCTACACGGGTTCTGGGAATCGGAACTCAAGTCTCCATGGTCGTGCAGCTCACATTGTACCACTGAGTCATTATCCCAGCCCTGCCACAGGCATTTCTAACTCTGGAGAAACAAAAACAAAACAAACAGCTAACAACAATGAAAAGCTACCTAGACTTTATTTCTATAAGGAGAATCAAGTAAAACAAAAACTGAAAGATGGTTTTATTTTAGTCTTTTTCTGCTTAGAAAAGCA